CACCTCCTCCGCCCCGGCCACCTCCCCCGCCGCTGCAGCCACCCCCCTCATTGCTGCCACCTCCCCCACCCGCGCCACCCCCCCCGCCACCACCACCTCCCCCACCACCGCCACCCCCGCTGTCACCACCACCGCCCTTGCCCCCCTTGCCCTTGCCGCTGCGGCGCCCACTCGAAGCAGACGCAGTCCCGACCTTCTCAGCACCAAGGAGGTCGACAGCAGCAGCAGAGGCGACAGAGGGAAGAAGGGGGGAGGGAGAACACCCCTCAAATAACGGGGTACGGGGGTCACCGCGAGAGGCACCTACAGCGACTATGCTAGCCTCAGCTGCAAGCAGTTCCTTCTCGAGGAGGGCAATGGTGAGCTCGGTGGGGCAGCGAGCTAGGAAGTGGTCCCTGACTGAGCGCAGAGTGTGAGGGAGGCGCGTGACTAGGTGGTAGAGAGTGAGCCAGAGCGGGGGTGGGTTCTTGGCAAGGAACTCATCAGGCATAGCGGCGCGGAAGCGAGCCTCACTAGTGCGGAGGTGGGTAATGAGATCAGCGACAGTGTGGAAGGAAGCTAAGTCGGGGAACAGGTAGGGAAGAGAGAGACGGCCTAGAGCGGCGAGGAGTAGCGGGCAACGACAGCAGTGTACAGTGCCTGTGCAGTCTTGTGCTGCCCAAAGTGCTCGCGCTCATCTATCGGCAGAGAGTTGCGAATAGCGAAGCGAGTATGAGCGTCACGAGTCTGCCACTATGAGCGGGCAGTGCTGTCAGCAGTAGCAGCAGGAGCAGTAGCGTGGCCTAAGGCATGATCGTACAGCGAGATGTCTTCCTTGGCAGTGAGCTGTAGGAAGAGGTGTAGGTCATCAAGCCAAGGTGTCAAACTTCACTAGGCGGCCCTCAGCATCGAAGGCTAGCACAGGAGGGCTAGCCATGGTAGCAGCAGTAGGAAAAGCAGTAGAGTAGGTAGGGCGGCGCGGCTCGGTACAGGTAGGGCGGCGCGACTCGGTATAGGTAGGGCGGCGCGGCTCGGGTCGGGCGGCGCGGCTCGGTTCGGGCACGGCTGGCGGCTCGGGTCGGGCGGCTCGGTTCCGTTAGGGCTGGGCGGCTCTGGTCGGCTCGGGGCCGCTAAGGGAGAGCGCGGGGAGCGGGTGGGGCCGTGAGGGACGAGCGCGGGGCCGACGTGGGTGCTAAGGGCGAGCGCGGGGCCTATCGGGGCCGTTAAGGAACGAGCGCGGGGCCGATCGGGGCTGTAAGGGACGAGCGCGGGGCCGACGTGGGCCTCTAAGGGCGAGCGCGGGGCCTATCGGGGCCGTGAGGGACGAGCGCGGGGCCGATCGGGGCCGGAAGGGACGAGCGCGGGGCCAACGCGGGCCTCTAGGGGTAAGCGCGGGGCCGATTCGGGGCCGTTAAGGACGAGCGCGGGGCCGACGCGGGCCTCTAGGGGTAAGCGCGGGGCCGATTCGGGGCCTCTAAAAGCGAGCGTGGGGCCGACTGAGGCCTCTAGGTGCGAGAGCGTGGGGCCGACGGGGCCTCTAGGGGCGTGAAAGCGGAGGCACCCTAGGGCGCAGGTAGGTAGGTAGGTAGTGGTGGGCCCTAAAAAAAATCGGTCCTAGGAAGGACCTGCTCTATACCATGTTGAACAAGAATGAATGAACTAACAGTGAAAATGAGTACAAGTATGAAAAACTAGGAATGTGTACCCCCTATAGGCTAACCCACTGTAGCCTAAACAACTACAACAACATATATAATGTTTGACATGTCACGAGTGCGCTGCTGCTGCTGCTGCTGCTGGCGCTGACCACCAGCGGAGCCGACCCTCTGCGCAGCGCCACCCCGACCAGCTCCACCTCCTCCGCCACCGCCTCCTCCACCGCCGCCACCTCCGCCACCTCCGCTCCCACCGCCACCACCGCCGCCGCCTCCGCCTCCACTGCCGCCACCGACACCTCCAACCCCACCACCACCCCCACCGCCACTCCCACGCCCTCCGCTGCCTCCATCGCCGCCTCCACCGCCCCCGCTAGCTCCTCCAGCGCCTCTGCCCTCCTGGCCCTTGCTAGGGCGGCGTCTCCCGCTAGGGGTAGACGCCGCACCGACCGACTCAAGACCAACGAGGTCGGCCGTAGCAGCAGAGGCAACAGAGGGAAAAAGGGGGGGCGGGGAACACCCCTCAAAGATGGGGGTGCGAGGGTCACCACGAGAGGCTCCTACAGCTACTATGCTCTTCTCTGCTGCTAGGAGGGCCTTCTCGAGGAGGTCAACAGTGAGAGTGGTGGGGCAAACTAAGAGGAAGTGGTCCCTGACTACGCGAAGGGAGTCAGGGAGCCGGGTGACTATGTAGTAGAGGGTGATGTACATGGGGGGGGGGCTTCTTGGCGCAGAACTCAGCAGGAAGCGCAGCGCGGTAGCGAGTGTCACTAGTGCGGAGGTGCGTAATGAGGTCAGCGACTGTGGGAAAGGCAGCAAGGTCAGGGAAGAGGTACGGTAGCATGAGGCGGCTCAGTGCAGCAGTGGCAGGGGAGGAGTAGCGTGCAACTACAGCGTCGTACAAGGTCTGAGCACTCTTGTACTGACTAAAGTGCGCACGCTCAGAGGTAGGCAGGTGGCGACGCACAGCAAGACGTGAAGCAGCATTGCGTGTGGCCCACTGTGAGCGAACAGTGGCGTCACCATCAGCAGCAGGGGCAGGAGAGGCACCAGAAGTGAGGTCAAAGAGGGAGAGACCGTCTGCCCTATCGCACTGTAGGAAAAGCTGCAGGTCATCTACCCAGACGTCAAAGTCAATGGCCCGACCCTCAGCATCAAAAGCAAGGACACTAGGGGTAGCCATGACAGCAGTAGACTAGCAGCGCGAACAGAAGGGTAAGGGCAGTGCAGTGACAGAGGCGCTGCTCTTACCGGACAGGGCAGCTCGGGCGGCTCGGCGGTTCGGCGGGTCGGCGGCTCGGCGTTTCGGCGGCTCGGGCGGCTCGGCGGTACGGCGGCTCGGCAGCTCAGCGACCCGGCAGCTCAGCAAGCCGGCGGCTCGGGCGGCTCAGGTGGCGCGGCGGCTCGGGCGGCTCAGGTGGCTCGGGCGGCTCGGCAGTAGGTCGGTGGCGCCGGCGGCTCGGTGGTGACGGCGGGGCCGCGTGGGGACGGCGGCGGGGCCGGTAGAGGCAGCGCCGGGGCCGGGAAGGGTAGCACCGGGGCCGCAGGGTAGGCGACGGGGCCAGCAGAGGCGGCGCCGGGGCTGGGAAGGGCGGCGCTGGGGCCGTGAAGGGCGGTGCCGGGGCCGCAGGGGTAGGCGACGGGGCCAGCAGAGGCGGCGCCGGGGCCGGGAAGGGCGGCGCCGGGGCCAGGAAGGGCGGTGCTGGGGCCGCAGGGTTAGGCGACGGGGCCGCAGGATAGGCGCCGGGGCTGCAGGGTAGGCGCCGGGGCGAGCAGGGTAGGCGACGGGGCCGCAGGGTAGGCGACGGGGCCGCGAGGGTAGGCGCCGGGGCCGCAAGGGTAGGCGACGGGGCCGCGAGGGCGGCTTGGAGGGGTCGCTAGGGCGGCTCGAAGGGGCCGCGAGGGCGGCGCGAAAGGGCCGCAAGGGCGGCGCGACGCGACAGGGCCGCGAGGGCGGCGGAACGGGGCCGCGTGGGCGGCGCGACGAGGCCGCGAGGGCGGCGCGACGTGATGGGGCCGCGAGGGCGGCGCGACGGGGTCGCAAGGGCGACTCGACGGGGCCGCTAGGGAGGCGCGACGCGACGGGGCCGCTAAGGCGGCGCGACAGGGTCGTAAGGGCGGCGCGACGGGGTCGTGAGAGGGGAGCGCGACTCGGGCAGAGGCTGAGCGCGCTCCGGGCAGGAAAAAAAAAATCGGTGGGCCCTAGGAACAGTTCCCACAGGGGAACCTGCTCTATACCATATGAAATTGAACGAGAATGAAATGACTAAGGGAAAGTTGGGTACAAGTACAAACCCTACAAAGCTGTACCCCATATGTGCTACCCCACTTTAGCCTACAGTAGCTATGTCATATAAATCTGACAGGCACGAGGGCCCGAGTTGGTGGGCCGAGTAGGCCTCTTTTTGCTAGCCGCCACAATCTGAGTGGCGGCCTTCACATTCTTATCTTCAACTACTTCTCCATATTTAATCTTTAGGGCCATGTTGGCCACTTCAAAACCGTGTTGGTCAGCGGTGAACAGAAAGTGAATCTTTTCTTTGTCAGAATGTTATTGTCTAGCCTGTAGTGGGGTGCTCTATAGCGAGTACAACCCTGTTAGGGTTTGCTATATGTATCCCAACTGCTGCTAGTGAAACCCCTCCTTTCTTCAATTCTGTTTCTGCCTGCTCACTTTGACATTCTTCTGCTTCCTCGACTATCTGCTGAAGGTAATCGGCAACGTGTTCTCCGCCATGCGGGGGCAAGACCGAGATGGCATGACGTGCAATAGATTGGATACGTTCGAAACTGAAAAGTTGCGTACGGATGCCATCACTTTTTACCAAAGACGAATGCAATTAGGGACGCGCAGGAGGGATAGGGGCAAGATTGAGGGTGGCAGATCCAGTCTTTGGGCGATGAGTATTACCTTCCTCCGGGTTCTCGGCGGGTGCGTCGGGATCCGCGTCGTCGCCGTTCGGTTCGTCGGCGGCGGGAGGAAGAGGGGGAGCGCGGTTTGCTGCTGCCGCAGGAAGGCGAACCGGTTCTAGCGGTGGAGCGGGTTCGCCATAATTTCCGCGCTGGAGGGCGGAGAGAAGACCGATCACGTGGTGGATCACGTCGTTGTTGGCGGTTGGAATATTGTCGTTGGTATAACGAGCCGAATTATTCTCCGCAGAAAGGGGCGCTGTAAATGCAGTGGAGCGAGCTGTAACCCATTCTCCTGCAGCGCCCGTGAAGATTCGCTGAAGAATGCGCTGGGCGTCAGGATTCAGGCACGCCGAAATCTCTGCAAAATCGGCAGCTCCCGAATTGGATACGCGCGCATTGTGCGTGTCAAACTCATATGCTGTAGTCTGTGTAGGCTGTAGTGGGGTAGACAATATGGGGTACAACACTTTAAGGTTTTCCTACTTGTACCCACATTCCTCATTTCTTCACATGGTATAGAGCAGGTTCTCTAGTGGGAACGCTTCTCAGGGCCCACCACTGAAATCGATTTTTTTTTTCCTGACCGGAGCGCAAGTCGCCCCTACCCGAGGCCCGCCCGGTTGGCCGCCCTCACGTTGCCTCTCACGGCCCCTCGCGCCACCCTTAGCGGCCCCGTCGCCACCCCTTACGGCCCCGTCGCCTTTGCGGCCCCGTCGCCGCCCCTCTAGGCCCCTCGCGGCCCCCTTCGCGGCCCCGTCGCTGCCCCTCTAGGCCCCTCGCGGCCCCTTCGCGGCCCCGTCGCCGCCCCTAGCGGCCCCGTCGCCGCCCTTCGAGGCCCCTCGCGGCCCCTTTGCGGCCCCAACGCCGCCCCTAGCGGCCCCGTCGCCGCCCTTCAAGGCCCCTCGTGGCCCCTTTGCGGCCCCGTCGCCGCTCCTAGCGGCCCCGTCGCCGCCCCTATCGGCCCCGTCGCCGCCCCTAGTGGCCCCGTCGCCGCCCCTAGCAGCCCCGTCGCCACCCTTCGCGGCCCCGTCGCCACCCTTCGCGGCCCCGTCGCCGCCCCTAGCGGCCCCGTCGCCGCCCTTCGCGGCCCCGTCGCCGCCTCTAGCGGCACCGTCGCCGCCCTTCACGGCCCCTTCAGCTGCCAAGCAGCCGAGCCGCCGAGCCGCCCAGCAGCCGAGCCGCCCACCAGCCGAGCCGCCCAGCAGCCGAGCTGCCGAGCAGCCGAGCCGCCCAGCAGCCGAGCCGCCCAGCAGCCGAGCCGGCGAGCCACCGAGCCGATGAGCCGCCGAGGCCGCCGTCGAGCCGCTACTGTTCCTATCGGCGCGCACCAGCCCTACCCACCCGGACTGGTGAGAGCACTCCCTGCTAGACCACTGTTGTCATGGCTACCCCCAGTGTCCTTACCTTTGATGCTGAGGGTCGTGCTATTGACTTTGAGGTCTAGGTCGATGACCTCCAGCTCTTCCTACAGTGCGATAGGGCAGACGGACTCTCCTTGTTCGATCTCACCTCTGGTGCCTCTCCTGCCCCGCCTGCTGATGCTGACAGCACTGTTCGATCTCAGTGGGCCACACGCGATGCTGCTGCCCGTCTTGCTGTGCGTCGCCACTTACCGACCGCTGAGCGTGCACACTTTAGTCAGTACAAGAGTGCTAAGACCTTGTACGACGCTGTAGTTGCACGCTACTCTTCCCCTGCCATTGCTGCTCTTAGTCGCCTCATACTGCCGTACCTGTTTCCTGACCTCGCCGCCTTTCCCACTGTCGCTGACCTCGTTACGCACCTTCGCACTAGTGACACCCGCTACCGCGCTGCGCTTCCTGCTGAGTTCTGCGCCAAGAACCCCCTCCCCCCATGTACATCACCCTCTACTACATAGTCACCCGGCTCCCTGACTCCCTTCGCTCGGTCAGGGACCACTTCCTCTCTGTTTGCCCCACCACACTCACCGTTGACCTCCTTGAGGAGCGCCTCCTGGCAGCTAAGAAGAGTATAGTCGCTGTAGGAGCCTCTAGAGGTGACCCGCATGCCCCTGTCTTTGAGGGGTGCTCCCCCTCCCCCCTTTTGCCCTCTGTTGCCTCTGCTGCTGCCGTCGACTTCGTTGGCACCGAGTTGGTCGGCGCTGCGTCTGCCCCTAGCGGGAGAAGCCGCACCGGCAAGGGCAAGGGGGGCAAGGGCGCTAGAGGGGCTAGCGCGGGCGGTGGAGGTAGAGGTGGAGGAGGCGGAAGGAGTGGGGGTGGTGGTGGGAGTGGTGCCGGGGGTGGGGGCTTCGATGGCGGCGGTGGCGGCGGAAGCGGCAGCGGCGGTGGCGGTGGGAGCGGAGGAGGCGGCGGTGGCGGCGGTGGCGGCGGAGGAGGTGGAGCTAGTCGGGGTGGCTCTGCGCAGTGGGGCGGCTTAGGTGGTGGTCAGCGCCAGCAGCAGCAGCGCACTCGTGAGACCCCGTCCCCCCAATAGCTTCGTGAGTGGTACGCTGGGTGTCAGCGAGGTGGGGGTACTAGTCCCTGTACCTACGTCCTCCGTACCGGCGACCGCGCTGGTGAGCAGTGCGGAGGCTCGCACTCCACCCAGCGCTGCTTTGGCCGCCTGACGGACGCTTGGCGTCACCAGTTCCCTGACGCCACCGAGATCCCTCGCTGGGGAGAGCTGTCTAGGGCGGGGGTTGCTATCTTTGATCTTGACTATGATGCTATTCTTGCTGCCATGTATGCTGTGTCTACTAGTGATGAGGGTGACTGTTACCTGTGTGTTCCGCCTGACCCGGGCATTGAGGCTGCTGCTCTAGGTGCTGGTGAGGCTGCTGCTCTAGGTGCTAGCGAGGCTGCTGCTCTAGGTGCTCGGGTGTCTTCTCCCTCAGGTGCTGGTGAGTCTGCTCTCTCAGGTACTGCGTCGGCTTCGGCCTCCCACACCTTCACCCTTGACTCAGGGGCTTCTCGCTCCTTCTTTCGAGACCGCACCACACTCGCGCCGCTTGGCTTGCCAGTTGCAGTCTCTCTGGCAGACCCATCTAGGGGTCCTGTCCTTGCTCACTACTCCACTGTCCTCCCGTGTCCGGCGGCCCCCTCTGGCACCCTGTCTGGTCTTTACCTCCCCTCGTTCTCTACGAACTTGGTGAGTGGTGCTGACCTACAGGATGCGGGGGTTCACCAATTCACTCCTGCGAGTCTGCGGGTGACCCACTGCACGGACGCTCGGACAGGCCGACACCTGGCCACGTTTACACTCTAGGTGCTGGTGCGTCTGCTGCCCCAGGTGCTGGTGAGTCTGCTCTCTCAGGTACCACGTCGGCTCAGGCCTTACACACCTTCACCCTTGACTCGGGTGCTTCCCGCTCCTTCTTTCGAGACCGCACCACACTTACGCCGCTTAGTCGGCTGGTTGCGGTCTCCCTGGCGAACCCCTCTGGGGGTCCTGTCCTTGCTCGCTTCTCCACTGTCTTACCGTGTCCGGCAGCCCCCTCTAGCACCCTGTCCGGTCTCTACCTCCCCTCGTTCTCTACGAACTTGGTGAGTGGTGCTGATCTACAGGATGGGGGGGTTGACCAGTTCAATCCTGCGAGTCAGCGGGTGATCCACTGTATGTTAAAAGACTAAGTAGGCTTAGGAGCCATAGTTTAGGAGCTAAGTAGTTGAGAGGTCGAGGGTAAGGAGAAGTGTCGAGAAAGTTGTGAAGGAGAATGTTTTGTTCACTATAGCACAAGAGTACATATAGCAAACAGAGCATGCAAGGTGCACCACCAACAAGAAAGTTATATGACTATAGTATCCTACACTACAGGCAGTTATAGAACAATATATAGAATTATATATATTATTCTGACACACCCCCATAAGTGACTGTAGGGAAGAATGTGCAGTCAACGCCCCCTGAAGAGGTACACCAACAAGAAAGTTATATGACTACAGTATCCTACACTACAGGCAGTTATAGAACAATATATAGAATTATATATATTATTCTGACATTGTACGTGTGCTCGGACGGGCAGACACTTGGTGTGAGGATCTAGGATCGAGCTCAGAAAAGAGAATTGCAATTGAAAGAATCACCTGGGTACAACACGAGGCTATATATAGGCTCGACACAAGGCCCCGTAACCAGGTGTTATGCGAAGGTTCCGCGGGTCGCAAAGCGTCCCGAACAGATCCTTTCCGAATTCGGTAGAAGGCAATTCGGTGGCAACCGAAAAGCCAGAATTCGGTGCATGCAACCTAGCTCGGTGCTATAACTATAATAAAATATAGGAAAGCACCTAGCCTAGGAAATCAAGCAATTCATGCATGCATATAATTATCCTATGCTAGAAATAGCATAATAAAGTAAAGGCAAGCAAGCATAGCTGGCATAAGCCGTCGTACTCTCACACGTCCCCTCCTCCAAGCTGGGTGGCTTGAGATACACCCTGCTTAACAACATAGTCCTTGAGAGCACGGCGTGCGTTGCCCATATCAACTTCAGCAACCCAACTGTCCTCAGTGGGGTCGTATCCCTTCCAGCGTATCAGGAACTCGAGGGTCTTGCCGCCACGGCCCCCATGAGAGAGAACGCGCTCAATCTCGTACTCGGGTTCATCTTGCACAAGAACATGTGGAGGTGGCGGTAGCTGCTGTCCCTGGAACTGGCGGTTGGGGTCCTTGTAGGGTTTCAGTAGCTGCACATGGAAAGCGTTGTGAAGCTTCCACGTATCTGGTAAGCGCAAGCGGAATGTAATTGGTGTCATTAGTGCCTCCACGAGAAGAGGACCATAGAAGCGAGGCCGGAGTTTGGATGGGAGGTGAGACAGGTTCAAGTTGCGTGATCACGTCGCTGAGTCTTCTCCCATAGCTGCTGCATGGTGGTGACGAAGTCATGTGCGGCTTAGACGTCCGACGGTGTGGTTGGGTGTTGTGGTGTGAGTGGTTCCCGTCCGTAACACAGGAAGAAAGGAGTTTTCCCTGTGGCCGCATGTGAAACGTTGTTGTAAGCGAACTCTAGGGTCGGTAACTGTGTGTCCCAGTGGCTGACGTCGTCCTTGCAAGCTGTGGGCAGTAAGTGTTCAACCACTTGATTGAGTCGCTCTCTTTGTCCGTCAGTCTGGGGGTGGTATGCTGAAGACATTGCAAGCTTTGTCCCCAACAGTCCCATGAGCTCCTTCCAGAACTTACTGGTGAATTTTGGGTCTCTGTCTGAGATGAGTGTAGCGGGGATGCCATGGATGGTGATGATGCGGTCGAAGAAGAGGCGAGCAGTTGCTTCAGCTATAGCTGTGGCGTTGGTCGGTATGAAGTGACCCATTTTGGAGAACTTATCGATTACTACGAGGATGGAATCGTGCCCCCGTGAGGTCAAAGGAAGTCCTGTGATGAAGTCGAGGCTAACGACCTGCCATGGCTGCTCCGGTACAGGAAGAGGCTGAAGTTACCCTGATTTTTTCTGCTTGCTGCTCTTCATCCGCTGGCACGTGTCGCAAGAGGTGACGAACTGCTGCACGTCTGCTGCCATCCCGGGCCAGTAGTAATACTTCGCTATTCCCGCTAACGTCTTATTGCTCCTGAAATGTCCCGCGTATGGTACGTCGTGAAATTCCTCCAATAGGATCTGCCGTAGCGGGGCGTAATTCGGTACCCAAATCTTTCCTGAACCCTTCCTTACCGCTAGGTCTTTCTCCCAGTGTAACAGCTTCTGGTTCTGTGCTGTAGTGATCTCTGCGTCCACGGAGTACCCATGTTGGAATAGACCCTTGAGCAGAGGGTTCATCCCGTCGAGCTGGATGCCTGCTACATGTCCGGGGCGGCTTAACGCGTCTGCCTTGTTGTGTAGCCCGGGCTTGTAGACGATGTCGTAGTGGAAGTGAGTTTCTAGGAAGTCCACCCACCGCACCTGTCGTCGTGAGAGCGTCGGCTGCGACTTCAAGTATTTGAGACTGCAGTGGTCAGTATAGACTGTAGTCTTGACTCCCTCTAGGTAACACCTCCACGCCTTCAAGGCTATGACTATCGCTAAGGCTTCCTTGTCGTGAATGGGGTAGTTTAGTTCTGCTCCGTGTAGCTGTCAGAATCCCAACCACTAGGCCATTGGGATAAAAGGGCTTGTTTCAGTAGCGGGTCAGTGCGCCCATAACCCCCCAGGCAAACGCGCCTGTAACCCCCCCTAGGATCGATCGGGGATCTCACAGTGTAGCTCTACTGACACCCCCCCACACTGGGAGGCCCAGGACTGAGCACAGTGGCAACGGCCAACATGTGCATACACCAGGATTCGAACCCGAGACCGCTCTGATACCATGTCAGAATCCCAACCACTAGGCCATTGGGATAAAAGGGCTTGTTTCAGTAGCGGGTCAGTGCGCCCATAACCCCCCAGGCAAACGCGCCTGTAACCCCCCCTAGGATCGATCGGGGATCTCACAGTGTAGCTCTACTGACAGTAGCTTCTTACTGAGGTAGGCAATGGGCTGTAAACCGCGTCCATGATCCTGCATTAGTACTGCTCTGACTGCTTGGTCACTAGCGTCTGCTTCCACCACGTAGTCCTTGTCTGGATCCGGCAAGATGAGTACTGGCGTTGTAGTCAGTGCTGTCTGTAGCTGTTCCATGGCTTGCTGATGAGGAGTATCCCATTTGAAGGGCGTATCCTTTTTCAGTAGGTCGGTCAGTGGCGCTGCTATCTTAGCGTACTGCGGCACAAACCTGTTGTAGTAGTTGTCGAAGCCAAGGAACTGCTTCAACTCCTTCACGTTCTCCGGTACTTTCCACTTCTTGACGGCTTCGATCTTCCGCGGGTCCACGTGTACGCCCTCGGCACTCACCATGTGCCCGAGAAACTGCACCTTCTTCAGGGCAAAGTCGCTCTTTGACGGCTTCACGTAGAACTTGTTTTTCCGCAGGATCAGGAACACCTTCCGCAGATGCTCCACGTGCTCCTTCATGTTCTTGGAGTAGATGAGAATGTCGTCCAGGTACACCACCACGCACTCGTCCAGCAGGGATCGTAAGATGTGATTCATCTCCGCTTGAAACGTTGCTGGTGCGTTGCAGAGTCCGAACGGCATCACCAAGCATTCGTAGGAGCCATATCTGGTACGGAACGCCGTCTTGTGGATCGAGTTGTCCGCCATCTTGATCCGCCAGTAACCCGACCATAGGTCCAACTTCGAAAAGACCGTTGCTCCACGCAGTTGGTCCAGTAGGTCGTCTATGCGCGGTATGGGGTATTTGTTTTCAACTGTCTGTTTGTTCAGTGCACGGTAGTCGATGCACATCCGTAAACTGCCGTCTGGTTTTGGAGTGAAGAGAACTGATGCACCGTAGGGTGAGGTAGATGGGCGAATCAGTTGTCTGTCCAGTAGATACTCTATCTGTTTCTTCATGTCTGTTAGTTCTGTCGGACTCAGTCGGTATGGTGCACGTGAGACGGGTTTCGCACCTGGTTCCTCCACGATCTCATGCTCGTGGGTGCGTGCTGGAGGTGCGCCTGCAGGTAGGTCGTCGGGCATTATATCCTTATATTGCTCCAAGACCTCCTTTACTGCTGCAGGGAGCTCGGAACTCGGCTTCTCCTCCTCTGCTATTGCCATAACCATTGCTAAGTAACCCGTGTTACTCTCGTTCACTGTCCGTTCGAACCATGCGAGTGTCGTTTCAGGAACGCTCCCTGTATCCGTCCAGCTTCGCAGCTCCACTCGTTTCCCGTTGTTGTAGATGCACACCTTCCTGCTGACCCAGTCGATCTCGCGGTTGAACCGCTTCAAGAAATCTCGCCCCAAGATGAAATCTTAGCCCTTGATGTTCATGATCGGCAACGTCGGCTTCCACCTCAGCGCCCCTATGTGTAGCTGTAGTGATGCTTCGCTGTGGATAGGAAGCTTCGTACCGTCCACCATGGTTGCTGAAAACTGGGTCTCTTCCGCCTTCTCTCCAATTTTCTCCAATGCTCCAAATTCACACACCGAGTGAGATGCACCGCTGTCCGCCAGTGCCTGGAGGCGTCGCCCATTGCATGACACCTCGAGGAGTAGTGGTTTCTGCTGCGCTGTGTAGCCAAAGAGGGTCTTATTAATAGGATCATAGGGTACATCAAACTTAATACCTTCCCTATTTCCTATACCTGACTCAGCGCTTTCCAACTTCACCTGGGAGGTAGGAGGATTTTTCCGAGGCTTGTATAATTTCTCTTTAGCCTGGATGTCTCCTCTAAGCCTTGGCAGCTGTGTAGGCTTCACCTGTGGACAACGGGGAGCCTTAACACTG